GGGCTCCCCCCCCCCCACGAGTTTCGCGGGTCTTCTTTCTTGTAAAAATAATAATTATAACTTTTACCAACTTTGTTACTATACATATGACTGGTCTACTGAACAGCTTTTCTCTTTGGAGTTTATCCAAGAACATCAAGGTCAGCCTATTGATTAAAATTAAATAAAAAGTTTTTAAATAGTTTGTTGTAAGTTTGCTTATTTCTGTTTTAAAAGTGGTTGCACTGCATGCAGCAATTCAGTTCACCTGTTTATCAGTTTGCAGGTGGCTGGGCTGCAGGCTTTTCAAGGGCTGTACAAGGCTGCTGAAGGGAAAGGTGACAAGGTTCCCTTATTGCTCCTAACAAAAGAAACAAAAAAGCAAAGCTACCACCCACATGGCGATATTCTTGGCTTCATCAAATATTTGATGATATATTTGACTGTGGGCAAATAATAAACAATTATTTGGCAGCATTTTTGACAGATGAATTGATGGACCTGCCAGATTTGGATCTACAAATCAGAGCATCTTCTTCACAAGGAAAGATTGAAGAATTTGTAGTCTTTTAGTTTAGAGAAAAGACAACTTGGGTTGATGGTGGTTTTAAAATTTTATATTGTATGGAGAAAGTGGATGGAGAGAACTGTTTTTCCCCTCACCCATGATATTAGAATGTGGAATGACCCAATGAAATGGAATTAGCAGTAGGTTCAAGATAGGCGAAAGACCCCCCCCCTCATACAATGCACAATTACTTATGGAATTTGCTGCTGCAAGCTGTGGTAGTGACCAATAACTTAGATGGCTTTAAGAAGAAATTAGACATTCGTGGAGAATAGATCAATCAGTGGCTCTTAGCCATCAATGGCTTAATGAAACCTCCACATTCAGAGGCAGAGTACCTCTGAATAGCAGCAGTTGCCAGAGGATTACAGAAGAGAGAGCATTTCATACTATGTTACAGGCTTCTTAAAAGCATCTGGTGAGCTACTGTGGGAAACAGGATGCTGCATTACATGATTCAGTGGTCTAATCTATAAAACCCTTCATGTATTCATACGTTCTTTTGAGTAATAGAACTTACTCCTAGATTGTGCTCATTGATGACAGTGAGGAGGTAGATGCCATTTAGATTTCCTTAAGACACCAAAATATCTTTCCTGGGCCAGCCCTGCTGTGCAATGAAAGTAGAAGAAAGGACCTCCTCCTCCTCCTCCTCCTCCTCCTCCTCCTCCTCCTCCTTCTTCTTAATCCGAGATACCAGCCTCATCCCAAATATCCTATGGTTCGAATACACAGTCACCAGAGCAGAAGCAAGGTGAGGATTGTGCCGAGAGCTCTCCTATAAACAGTACAAGAACCCGATGCGCCAGAAATACGTCATCCCCTCCCCGCACTATGGAACTCAATGACAGGGACTTGGTTGGAGTCTGTGTAAAGTTATTATTTATTTGTTTGCTCGTTTATTAAACTTATGAATCGCCCAACCCCGCAAGTGGGCTCTGGGTGATTTACAGCCTTAAAACAGATAAAATACAACCAACATAATAAAATTATCACTATACACTAATAAAATGACCAATTCAGATGGCGATCAATCCCTTTTTTTGCTGGCTGCAGTGCTTTCCATGCAGCAGGGCAGGGAGGGGGACATGGGAGCCATAGGAAGAGAAAGGAGGGTGCCAGTCTTAACTATTGCTGCCCTCAACTAAAAGCCTGGTGGAACATCTCTGCCTTGCAGGCCCTGCAGAATTGTATAAAATCCCATAGGGCCCATATGTTGTTTGGCAGAGAGTTCCACCAAGTCGGGGGCCGGGACTGAGAAGGCCCTGGGCGTAGTTGAGGGCAGCTGGACTTCCTTAGGGCCGGGGATCACCAATAAGTTGTTATCAGCTGATCTAAGTGCTCTCCTGGGGCCATATTGGAGGAGGCGGTCCTGAAGATATGAGGGTACCTGACCGCTCAAGGCCTTCTGACTGAAACAAGCTATTTCCCTTTTGTAGCTGCCTTATGTTCTGTGAACTTCAGAATTAAAACTGTCTTCAGGCTGTATTGTATAATGCTTTCAGCATGGTGGAACATTGTGTTGGCTAATGCAGAAGTTCAGAGATTTTTCTGTTGGCAGGTGTGGGGTGCACATTTAGACATGTTTAATTTTGATGCCATTAGAACAGATTGAAATGTGCCTTGGAAGGATGATTTTTCTTTGGGCTTTTCTGCACGGAAGGCAAATGTGGAGGAGGTTTCTGAAGCGTATGCTGGAAGAAAAAGTGCTGAACAAATTCCTTAAGTGTGGGATCCCCTGCATGTCAGGAATGCAAGGGGAAGAACATCAGACTGGGAGCCATTCTTCAGGCTTCTCTGGATCTGGCCTTTTCCACTAGGGGCTTGAAAGATCAGCCTGTTTTACTCATGAGTCCGATGAAAGAAGTCTTCCTTAATCTAAACAAGAATAATTGCTAACTTCAGAGCAGACTACATGAAATGAGAAGACCTGTGTGCATTTTATTCCCCTGTTCTTCCATTCACATATAAAATATGGGGTGGGGATCTGGTTTTAATAGAAAATTAGGTGAGGGGTTGAGGAGAGCTAAGCTGAGCCTCCTCTCCTTACCCTGTGGCACTCCGTTGCTTGAAGCATTTCTCTTCCAGCCTGTCTCCTTTTCAGTATCAGACCTGGACTTGGAGAAAATACTTAAAACAACAAAGGGAGGTGAAGTAAGGAGGCCACATGTTTAATTTTCTGCAAAAAATAGACCTCTCCATTCCCTGCATTACATGTGAATGGGAGAACACTTGCATTAATATGTGACTCCTTTCATGTCTGGAACCATAAAGGTCTATTTGTAGAAATTCCTAATGTACTGGCAGGAATTTCTCCTGCATCACCACAGAGCTCAGTCATTCCTGGTTCAGCAAACCGTGTAGCCCAGTAACCACTAGTGCTTCAGCCCCTAGCCAGTGTAACAGGGTGCCATAGGCTTGCAGCTCATTACCGGGGCTTTTTTTTACGGTTCTGATCAGACAGACTATCACTATTTAATGTATAACCACTGGGCTATGCAGTCTCTTGATCCTGGGCTTTGTTGGAATTGGGGAGCTGGTATGTTTTTTGTGTGTGTGTGTGTGTGTTTAGATATGTATGGTGCAAATGTAGTCTTCAAAGCACACTTCTGAGAACCCCTGTTGTATTTGGTGATTTTGCTGTTAGTTACTAATAAAACCATGTGATTTTAAAGGCATACCTTCTGTTTTCTGCTTAGCACATTTGATGCAACTTTGTAGATGGCCTTCTTTTGTATGGTCTGATTCTGTTCTTTGTGCCTTTCGAACAGCAGAAGAGAAGATATTTGGATAGTACATAAAACATGTGATGATACATTTGCGAAAACTGTCAAGGTGTTTGGAGGGGGAGGTGTAGACAGATATAGGTGCATAACAATATTATTCTACTGTCTTCTAGATACAGAATTAGAATAAAGACTAAGTTTTGATTAAGGGCTAGAATAATCCACTAAGAACTCATTCAATGCAAGCCCCATTGAAGTGAATGCTCTTGCATTCACGATTATGGAACAACTTCCCCAGGAAGGTGTGCCTGGGCCCTTCAATTTAAATCAGTTGAAGACAGGATTGGTTTTTTTTTTTTAAAAAGGACTGCATTTGGTTACGTTTACTAGCAGTCCTGAGTTGTGATTTTACATTTTTGCTTTTATGTTTTTAATGTGTTTTGTTTATTTTGTAAGTGGCTTGTGCTCCATAAGGAAGACAGGTGCCTAATAAATGCTTTAAATAAATAAATGAATAAAAATAACTTGTGTTCACTTCAGCATGGCTGTACAGGAAAAAGTGGGGCTCTATTAGTATGAAAATGATGATGAGGACATTTATATGGAAGTAAGGTTCACTGAAAGTGGGCTGTATTCAAGTATACATGCTGCATGAATTTCTGGAGTTAGAACTATAGATAACCATTAGAAAGCTTTGATATGTTTACTAAAAAATGTTTAAAAGGTTTTGCTGAGATAATTTAATGCCAGTCCAGTGTATTGTGTCTCATCCTTTCTTTCCAAAATATGAAAGCGCTTTAATATTGGTGGCGCTTTGGGGTACCAGTAA